CTTCCATGGGCTTCGCACTCGCACTTGAGGTCATGACAAGAAGGAGACGAGAGACCGGCCGTAGTGCTGTTGGCCCGCAGCAGCGGTCCCAAAAAACGCCGTCATCTGTAGTCAAAGGAATGCTGTGGACAGAATCCTGCACCACTTTGAGTCCGTGGGAAGACATGGATTATTTGTTGGTATTTACGGGGAATCATCCTTCTAGGTTTTTTTTTAGGTGGTGCAGGATTTCGTCCACCAACAGTGTGGGGCACACACACCAAAGTACTCGCCAAATTCTCACTTCGGGACATGAGTATTGACCGTAGGGCTGCTCACATATTCCGGTCAGACTCTCCCAACGAACCAGACTCGACGGGAGGAATTTGGGTTTTGTGGCGGAAGGCGCAGGAGCTGCCTGGCCGGCAATGTTTTGGAGTTGGTACCCATTTTCAGGTTGGTTTACAGGGAAGCCAAATGGAAACCCACAACTGTTGGGGTCCAATTCCTATTTTGACACACCTAAACATTGCAAGTAAACCAAACTCAACTACAAGACAAGTCTGATCAATTGCAATGCGTAGTGCTTGGATCTAACAGTGTGGTAGAAGTAGCGAGATGGTCACGTGAATAAGGCGACTCCCGCCTCAACAAATTCACACTTTTCCCATCGGCGTGGGTCAATGAGCCTCTCAACTGGTTGGTAGACATAAATCTCCACCTAAATGATCACCCAAGGGTCAGTTAAAATTCACAGCCATTCGGGCCGCCTTGTAGCATTTACTTTTCGGGTTGTGACCTACCTGATGAAGGCGGTTCCTTGAGTCGACTCACGTTTTATCGCCGGGTTGGCGAGATATTATTCGCCCAGAACGCATGGTCGACAGCTGAAACAGTCCTTTGTCCACTTTCATGAGTGGGTGGGTGTACATGGCACAATGGTATTCTGGTTTAGTAGTCCCCTTTGCCAGCCCACGAAAAGGGAATTGTGCCAGTTTAGCCCCTGGTGTAGCTGTCCTGGGATGATCCCCATGAATCATTGCTGCAACGCCTCGCAACTCCTCTCTCGACCGGCGGGGATTGCTCCCTGCGGCACATGCGAAGGCAGGGAGTTGGGGAAGGGGGAGTTCCATGGGCAAGATTGCGAGTAGTCTAATTGCAACCACACCGCAAGTCAAAGGGCCTCCCTGCTGCAGGCATCAATGCTCGAAGCCAATACATAATGTGAGTGTTTGCTGCCCAGAGGGTCCAAGTACCTTCTAAGGAGGTACTTTGACCCCTTTTTACCCCCTAAAAGCCATCCTCATGAGGTATTTGGACCCTCTGGGCTGTGCAAGCTTAAAACATGTGAGCCAGCAAGAGTCAGCGTGCGAACAGAGCAGAAAGCAAGCTCGGCAGTTACATGACGGCCTTTCCAGTCATGTGTTGCGGCTGCGGGGAAAGATTGACTTCCATTTGGTTAAGATATTTATTTTCTTTCTCCCCCTGTTGGTTTAAAGGGAATCGGTTTCACTACTGGAAACACATATATATATATATATGTATATATATTGTTTTTTTTCCAGGGTACTTAAACGCAAATGGAGGTTGATCAGCGGTGCTGCTTGTGTTGCCGCGCCTGCCTTTACCGGTGCATTCACTTGAAGCCGGGTGAAAGCTCTGCAAGATTCTCTCGAACCTTAAGGCGTCCGTGTTGCAGTGTGCATTGTGTCACGGTTATGAATTGCCTTTAATGCCATACTTGTTTTGTCCTTGCGCTGCAAGGCAGGAGTTTGTGCATGTCTACGACAGAAAGCTGCTATATCGTCCGATCATGTTTGAGTTGTTTGCTTTCGGACTGCGACTGGGACTGAGAGATAACGTACAATGATTTAAAACATTTCAATGAGCTTTAGTGGGACACTGCCCGCATTGGTAGGTGGACCTCGATTGCTCCATTGATGCAATACTGCCAAGGGTTCGATGAAATCTGGGGCTCCAACGTAGGTCGCTTTGCCTAGATCCTTCCATCCCCCGAGGGTCCCTTGGTACCTTTTAGGTACTTAGACCGTCGTCATGAGGTACCAAGGGACCCTCTGAGATCGCTGACTCTTGAAGCGCTGACGGCGAACTCGCCATTCCCCGCCGCCTTTTCTGGCCGGAGGGGCGAAGAGTTGGAACGCGGCATCAAAACCAATGGGATGCCATTTTGGGTTTTAGTCAAGATTGACACAATCAGGGCTCCTTAAAAGATACACTTTGCCCATTTGAAACATGGCTTTTTCCGCCTAAATAAAGGGAAATCACAATTTACAAGGCAATGTTCAGGTGCATAATGTAAGGATCCCTGATAATTCAAAATGAATGTATGCCATGTTCTCCAAAGGGTCCCAAGTCAAAGTTTACCTGTTTGATGTCCCTCGTGGCAAGTGGAAATCTGAGTGGGGTTTGCTGCTGCTGAAGGTACACAGGCAAGTTGCTGATGGATCCCTCTGACTGGGGCCACTCAAATGACGTCAGTCAGATGTTTCAACCAATCGCTCCAGTGCCAAAGGAAGACACGTCATCAGTGAGATTCTTGTGCCAGCTTATGCCGGCAAGCTTAAGGCTTAAAGCAGCCGCCATGGCGATGTATAGCGACGGCTGGCGAGGCCTGTGGGGGTTTCGGGGATGTCCTCCAACCCTGAGGCTCCGATCGGTGCGCTCCCCCAAACGCCCCGAGTTGCTTTAGGGGTGTGAAAAGGACATATGTTCAGGCCACAAGATCCATCAGGACCCTTTTCGGAAGTCAACAAATATTTGCTGGGTGTTTATATATATATAAATATCTTTTGTTTTTTGTTTCCGGAGTTGGTACCCTTAAGTTTTCTTTTAGTTTAACAGAAAAAGGTCAGAAGGACAAGGCGAGCCACTGGGTGGAAGGGGGGGCCCTCAAAGAAGACACCCATGTAGTAGTTTAATTAGGGACAGGGCTGTGGGAAATGACCACTTCTGTGATACAACAAAAAGGGCTTCCCAAAGACTAACCCCCCATATAAAGGGGGAGATTGCCTTGTATCACAGAAGTGGGGATACACCCCTTGATGCCACAACCCTGATTAGGGAAGACTGACTATGTGTGTGTGTGTGTGTGTTCCGCGTGCCCCCGATGTAGGCCAAGCTTTGAGCTCTGCGCTGGGGTCTCTTACTTGAGATAGCTAGGTATCAAAAAACTGTTTAGATATCGCACAAACTTATTGGGCATCATCAAACAAATATTAGGCATCAAAACGAAGCTTATCGCTATTCTCAAAGCAACTGCGTGGAAGGAAGGAAGGAAGGAAGGAAGGAAGGAAGGAAGGAAGGAAGGAAGGAAGGAAGGAAGGAAGGAAGGAAGGAAGGAAGGAAGGAAGGAAGGCAGGGACTGTATTTGTTTCTACCAGCGTGCTATATAGTTCTTACCTGGCTGATGCCGTTGTTTGAGCTTGCTCCGGCCAGGGAGAGGGGGGCGGGGCTGTGCCAAAAATACTAGTTTCAAAGAATCTGGCAAAATTTGTTAGGCATCAACAAAAAGTTGGGCACCATTTTGCTGCACAACTTAGAACAAAGCCTGGAAACTGCGGCGTCAAAGAGAACCCATCAGGCATCAATAGCTAAAATGTCGGGCATGGCTGGGGCTGCTTTGTTTAGAGCTTTTCGGGGGTGGGTTTACTGTGGGTTGGTTTAAGGTTGGTTTTGGGTGGGTTTGACGTGCGTTTTGAGCGGGTTTGGCGTGGGTTTAGGGTGCGTTTAGGATGGGCTTAGGGCGGGTGTAGGATGAGTTTGGGGTGTAGGATGAGTTTAGGGCGGGTGTTGAGCTGGCACCATCTCAGAAGGGGGGGGACTTGCAAACCCCTGACCAATTCCTAACTCCTCCCCCTCTTTCTGAGCCTCTTTACCTCCAGCAAATCCCCTGAGGTGGACCTGGCGCAGCTGCCTGACGTGGCCCGGCTCCGCGCCCGCAGGCTGCGCCGATCGAAGGTCTTGTCGATGCCCAAGCGATGGGTGGAAAACCTCAGCCGAGGTCATGACGAGAAGTAGCAGCATATTATTTGGTATACGGTATACCCCCAATCGTTGCCACTAAATGTGGTAATAGAGAACCCCCACCCCATTCTAATCATTCAGCCTGCGACGGGTTATTTTCCACATCCAGGCAGCGGAGGATTGCGAAGTTGACAGCGGGATTGCGCGCGACTGGAGCGACTGGTCCTACGGCCGCTCGACCTGCACGCGGCTTCGGGTCGACTGGCCGTCGGGATGCGGCGAGCCTCGGGCGGGGGGTCTTTGATTGGCTGGGTCGATGCAAAAAGGAATGTAAGCCCATCCCGAAAAGGGTACCCTCACAAAGAACGACGCCATCACATATAAGCTCAAACCCAGTGTTTTAGAGTTGAACGTCGACCAAGTGGAAGTATTGTGTAGTAGGGAAGGCTGGAACGCATGCTTTGTTTTGGGCCGCGTGTGTTTGTGTGTGTGTGTGTTAGTTATTTGCAGTTGGCGGGCAAAATGGCACAGACATCTAAATGTATGTACATATATGTAGCCAGGGCTGCCCTCATGTATTCTAGAGATGGGGTTGGGGTGGGGATGGATTGTGAGCTGCTGAAGAGCCATTTGCCAACGGCGATTCAATGCCAATTCGCCTACCCGTGCCGCGAACACGAAGTGAGGTGAGCGATTCCCAAGGGGACAGGGGCCCCGGGGATTTGTTCGCAACCGGCCGAAATCCTGGTGTGTTGCTCCCTCGTTTTGTGTCCCTATGCACGGGATGGGCAATATATAGATCTGAACTACAGCTGGTTCAATCGCAACTTGCCGCTTGACTTTGTTTTTTGGAATTGCCCCTTTTGACTCGTGCAGGACCCAAAATATCGAGCGACCTGTAATCCATCTCACAGAATCTTTACGTCCAACCGGCCAAGCTCCAAAAACCAATTTCAACTCACATGAGCAAATAAAAAAAACTCAGTGCTCACTTCTGGGAGCGCCCCTCTCCCAGAATTTCGGCAGCTGCATCCGGTAGCCATTTTGGCTCCACATTTGGGCGGTTTCGTTTGAGTTCAGAAGCTGCGGATGGCTCGACGCGCCCTCCGATTCGCCTTGCTGACGTGGCTTCTCGGCGCCTGCTGGATCCACGTGCCCGGAGATCGACACCGACCCAGGAGAGGCAAATCCACAAAACCTATCCAATTTGGGTGTTTCTCAACATGTTGGACTCAACAAATTGCGGTTTGCTGTTGGTTTCCCTTTGAATCCCTTTGAAAAGGGTCCCCTGTTTTGAGGTGGACCCATTTTAAGTTCTTTCTTGTGGGCACACTTGCTTGGTTGAAAGGGAATCCCAATTGGAAAACAGCCAGGGGTTTTAACCCAATTTCAATTTCCATTTTGCCAGTCCAATCCTCTTTCAGCTTTCAGCCCAGACAGATCCGCAACCCTATTGCCCGCAGAGAGTCTCTGACGTTGTGGCCATGAAACTTGGTCAGGAACTGCCTCAACATGTGGTTGGTGGACACGAATCTCCACCTAAACGACGGTTGGTCAACATTCTTGGCCACCAAACAACTGCAGGGTAGTTTTGCCCATGTGGTGGGAGGTCATGTTTGTTGGTCGCCTTCCATAGGTAGGCCATCCAGATGGCTGTGATTTCCAGGACACCCAAAGTGGTTCGCCAGAGCCGTCCCACCGGCGCCATCTCGGATCAGTGCTACTTGGTGAAGGAGCGCTTGCTCTTAAGAGACGCTGAGCCCTCAACACACAGAGGTGTGTCTTTCATTTGGACCCCCCACCCCAAATACTCAGTGATCAATGATCAGTGAGGGGACTTAACCGGAGATCTGGACCACAGGGGTGCCAAAACGGTTGGTGTTCCTGGGTTTTTTTCAAAACCAAAAGGGGCACCCTCAGAAAAGACAGCTGCTCCCAATCCGGCCCACACACCAGTTTTGTAGCTGGGTGTTCATCCGTTTTTTGGAGCCTGCAAACGTGGACCAATGAAATGCAACTGAATGGGACATCCAGTGACACCAGTTGTTGTAGGCGGGTGTTTGTTTGATGGTGTCCTTTTAGATTGGTTTTTGGGGTAAGCAAAAGCAAAACCGAGCTCGGGGTGCTTGAGCAGAGCACATTCAACACGCCTGCCTGGCAAGGCTGGAGCCCTGGTCAGAAACTGCAGGTGTTCCACTGAATGGCGCTTGACTTCGGGTAGAGTCTGCAAACATGACTTTGATGATCGCATCTCTGTAGGTGGTTCTACTACCCTTGTTTCATGGGTTTTGTACCAGGCCCAGATGAGCCTGTGGAGCCATGTTGGAATGCGAAGTTGGCGTTGAAAGGGTTTCGGACTGAAGCCTGCCGCCCGGCCTCGATTTTTGAAGCAGGAGGCAAGCAGAAGGAGTTTGGGGGATCTGAGATGGGCGAACTAAGTAATTAAGCCAAGCGCTGAGGATCTTGAAGCCGCGAACGGATGCTTCAACCAAATACCTGCAAGTGATCTTCCTTTGCAAGTGGCCGTTAAGAAGCCAGGGCTCATGGAGAAAGGGACTCAAATGTGAAGGGATCAACGGATTCCCAAAGCCACCCAAGCTATAAATGAAGGGTTTCCTGAATCAGCAACCCTGACCACCCCCACGGGAAATTTGACTCTGGCAGGTCTGGTCCAGAAAACGGTTGGATGTGGATCCATCCCTGCAGGATACTGAGAGCTTAAAGGAGTACACCAGGGTGAAACTTGATGGATTGTGGCCCTTTGATTGGGCAAGTAACGTTTTACCATCTACCTGCACCCAACTGTACTAAAGACGTCAACAGGAGAAGAACATATGGTCATATGGTTGCGTTTCTTTGGGCAACCTCTAAAATGGGTTGTTTGCTTCAGGTTTCCCTCAAAACCAACCCCAACAAAGCTTTCCAACAAAAAAACACGGCGCGTTTCGCGCTTCGGAGGAGAGCCCAGCGCTGAGCAAGAGCGAGCTGCACGAACGCTTGGCGCTGCGCAAGCCCTTGCCCGAGCGCTTGGCGCTGGTTCCGAGCCACCAGGGCCGCTCGACGCTGGTCTCGACGCGAGCGGCGGGTGGTTTGGGTCGCAAGAAGCTTGCGCCGCTCCGTAAAACCCGTAACAAACCCTATCAAAGCGCAAGCGCAAGGGGAAAGACACGGGGGATGTTTATGCCAGGGTTTTCCGAGGAACCTCAGTTTGGAGGGCCCATGACCCAGATTGCCGGATTGACCTCTGAAGGAAAGAAGAGGGATGGATATCTACCTGGCATGTAGGAGATGACAATTTACCACAGGAAGAGCCAAAGAGCAAATTGGAGATGCCCAAGCACCAGCCACAAAGGGTTTCTGCCCCCTCTATTGAAATGAAACTGCGTCTTTCTTGCAGCCATTGTGCTGGACGTTAGGTGCATTCTGAATTGCTCTGCAACTTATTTCGGGGAGCAGGCCCCGCTTAAGGAAGCACCCAAAGGAGTTGTTTTTGCTGTCCTCGATGTGCCGAAGAATAGTTGTTACTTCCCCTTGTTAGCTTGGACATATGCAATATTTTTCCAGGAGACGCAAGGTAAGGAATCACCCGAAGGAGTTGGTTTGTGCCGATTTCTGGGCTGGGGGCTCAGGTAAGGTACTTCTGTGGTTTGGTGTTCTTGTCCCCATTCAATGTGCAAGCTTTGTCCGCCCGTGAATTTACAGGGTCCGCCAATTGGGAAGCTGCCTTTGGGCTACGATTGCTCGTATCCAACTCAATCCTTCCCCTTTTGCCGGCATTTTGCAGGTGGTTTCCCTTGTAAGTGGTGGTTTCCCTTGTGTTTCCCTTGTGGGAAGCGCGAGGCTTGGCGAAACCCCGCTTTTTGCTTCCCTCGACGCCTCCAGGGGCGCCGCAAGACGCGCGGCTCCTGAACTTCAACGCGGCCGGGCAGACCGTCGAGGCGTCTGGGCACTGAGATCCCTTCCCCAGTTATCGCCCAAAATGGGGGTGTCTTAAACAGGGCTCCTTAAAAGATACATTTTGCCCATTTGAAACATGGCTTTTTCCACCAAAATCAAGGGAAACCACCATGTACAAGGCAATGTTCAGGTGTATACTGTAAGGATCCCTGTTAAAATACATAACCCCCCCCCAAAATGGATGGTGTTCTTTTGGTTCGATCTCCTTTGAAACCACCCACAAGCGAATGGGTGTGTATAACGAATTGGGGGCCGGCCCCCTATTTTGTGGGGCAGGTGTTCCTCTGAAAGCCGCCCTGCCCACTTCTGTGCCATCTATCAAGGCCCAAGGGCCCAAATCGCCTGGAAAAGAGGCAGCCCTACATTGGAGACTGGAAGGGGTACCCTGAAAGCAGAGTAGTATGGCTCGTCAAAATAGGGGGACCCAAGAAATTGTGTGCGTGGTTTGTGGTTTTCCTTGAAAACAACCCAAAGGCATACATGTTTGACTCACTCCCACGGAAGGTCATTGCCAGGTCCTTCAGCTAATTCGAAGCAAGGAGGTATCAAATTGAGCCTCGTCCCCACTGGTTCTTTGGCAACAAAGGGGTTGACCATGCTTAGAGGAGAGCCCAGCAACAAAAGCGTCAACTGGCACTGAACATTTGGGGCTCCCGATCTGTACATTTCAGCAATGGACTGCACTGCCAGGCCTGCAAAGTCTACACGCCATGGCCAACGTCAACTTGAGAGCAACGAACCACTCCAGATTCATATGCGCATCCCCCCTCTGATGCAAACATGTACTTATTTGGCTGCAAGGAGTTCTTCTAACATGCCAGGTCGCTGGCATGTTGCCACCGAACATTTCCACACCACCCCGAACCACTGTTTTCCCCATGCTCAAAGTCCCAGCAACTGTGAGACAACTGGAATCCGACTTCCAGGATAGATAGGGGAAAAAGCAGCGGTTCTTTGGAGGCCTCAAAGGTTTCTTTGCGGAGGTCTCTCTCTTCGACTGTGGCACCGTCCAGATGCTCGAGAAACACTCCTCGCTCTGGCGCGTGCTGCTTTCAGACTGCGACGCGGTCTTGCCTGGAACCTTGGTACCTCAGTAGGCAAACCGGCAGTTTGACCTTCTTGCCCCACGGGGTTCAACTGGGGTGTCCCTGGGCCAATGGAGTGTCTCTCATGGGTTTCTCTTCCCGATTTTGACCTTGCCCCATGATGCTTTTGTTTTACCCGATTTTGACCTTGCTCCGTGGGTTTTTTTTTATATATTTTGTTCACCCGATTTTAAGGTTTAACAGGGATGTCTCTGGGTCTTTCGAGTATCTCTATTTGGGTTGTCAAAGGCGCTACGGGGTTCCTGCTGGTTCCCTTCACAACCACCCCAAGGGTACCAGCTACAAAAAACACATTTGGCTGTGGTCAAAACCAATGGTACAATTTTGGCGTAGATGCACCACCTATTTTAGTCTATTCTAGTGGGGATTGGGATGTTCACTGGGGGTAAGGGATTTTGACCCATGGCCATTTGTCAAGGTCTGGTTCAAGGCGATTTTCAAGATTTCCAGTTCCTCAGAGCCAAGGTACAGATCTATGACACCACGCCCCTTGGCCAGGGGTAGGCTTGCGGATCTGACAGCCATTGAGCCCAATGGGTGTGTGTGTGTGTGTTATTCGGTTGGTCTAAAAGGAAGCCAGAAGCGGCATTTGTTGGGTTTCCGTATTTTGACACATACCCATATCGAAATTGTTGGGAAAAACACACAGAGAAAGAACATATATAAAAGTGTGTGTGTGTGTGTGGTGTGTGTGTGTGTGTGTGTGTGTGTGTCTGTGCTGTGTGTCTGTGCTGTGTGTCTCTGTGTGTCTCTGTGTGTGTGTGGAGTTTAAGTGTGTGGAGTTTAAGTGTGTGTGTGTGTGTGTGTGTGTGTGTGTGTGTGTGTGTGTGTGTGTGTGTGTGTGTGTGTGTGTGTGTGTGTGTGTGTGTGTGTGTGTGTGTGTGTGTGTGTGTGTGTGTGTGTGTGTGTGTGTGTGTTTGTGTGTTTGTGTGTGTGTGTGTGTGTTTTTTGTGAGCTCCGGAGTGCAATAATATGTCCCTTGCTTCTTTGAGCCACATCAAGAAGTCCCCTAGTCTGAATTGAGAATCAGAGTCATGTTTCTTGTCAACGGTAGCTTGGTTGCTTCCCGTTAAAGCATGTGGGTGTGTCCTTTCTTGGGGGACTGCCCAAAATGGCACAACGGTGTTCCTGTTATCCGTTTACCGCAAAAGAATGGTACCAACTCAAAAAAATAGCAGGCCCAAAGCTACCCCATTCTTTTCAGGGATCCTTCTTTTCAGGAAACAAACACCTACGGAAAACTTCTTAAAAGAAGGATGATTTGAAAGACTGGTTGGAATCAACCCAGGGATGTTTCGTTTCAGAAAACCATAACACCCGGGGAAAACGGGTGGCTTTCATAAAGAATGTTTGAAAAGACTGGTTGGAGTCAACTCCTGGGATGCTTCGTTTCAGGAAACCATCAAACCCCCAGGGAAAACGTGCGGTTTTGAAAAAGGAACGGCGGTGGAACAGAATAGTTGGAATCCACCCGGGGTCGTTGCCCAAAATAGAAGGGGTCATGGACCTATTCTTACAGGGTTATGGAGACTCCAGGTAGACATGTTGTGGTACCTCTTCTACTTTGAGCCGCTCGCCGAGGCCTCGAGTTGAAGCGCCGGAGTCTGCGGATGTGGCCGGAGGAGTGAGCTGGACCATGAGTTTTTTTCCGCGCAGACGGGGTGGGATGCTGTCAGGCAACCCTTCTCACTTCCCGAGGTCCTGCACTTTCTGCTTCTGGGGAAGACCATGTTCAGTGGCAAAGAATTTGTTTTGAGTCCATCCACTCAAAAAGTGAGCCTTGGTTGGTTTGGATTGGTGGTTGGGGGATTTGCACCCCTGGTTCTGAAAGAGAGTAAATGGGAGGCTACCCCCTAACCACACCACCACCAATCAAAACCACCACCAATCAAAACCACCACCAATTCCAGCAAAGCTGAGGGGTGTAGGCGTCTGCTTTGAGGGGGCCCAGGTGACAGAGGGGTCAATTGTTCCCCTGTCAACTCAGAGCTGTATTTGGGGATTTTTGCTTGCCGGCTCCATTTCAATTCAAGCTGGGAACGCAGAAACCATCCTTGTTGGAGATCCACCTCACCTGGGTGGAAGTAGCCAGAAGAGAAATCGGGAAAGGCCAAGGGATGGAAATCTAGAGTTTGCACCACCCATTGCCGGTCCCTGCCTCTGCTGAAGGCGCGCCCTTTGTCATTAGTCCTGTTTTTTGGGGCGGGGGTTTGGGGGAGGGGTGATAATTTCCTTGTGCATTCTTGAGTCTGATGTCATGGCAACCAGCTGAAAAGGGAGGAAACAACACTTTTTGACCATGGAACCTATGACGTTCGGTCAAAATATGCACTGCATACGGATCATTTGGGGAGCAGTGTGAGAGGACTCAGTTTTTGTCTACAAAACCCAAAAGACAAACCCTGATTTCCCCGTATCCTTTACACGTCAACCCCACTGTGTTTGTCTTGGTCAGGGCAGGCCCAAAGGTTTTGGATTGGTTTGGGGACATTGGAGCCCCTGAAGCTAGCCCAAGCTTCAACCCACCAATTTGATTACTGCGCTAAGTATTGCAAGGGAACAAGTTGGACACCCAAAAAACACAAAAATCCGCCATGGTTCGTGGTTGGAACCCAAAAAACCAACGCCATGGTTTGTGGTTGGTGGTTGGTTTACGTGAACAATCTGGCGAACGGTTTAAGCGCGCCTCGAGCTTCAAACCCACCGGCCGCCAGAGCGGACGAGCCACGAGCGGCTCGTGTCTCAGGTGAAGACGACGGTGTTGCAAGAGTCGGAGTCCGCGAGAGCTGCTGTCACATGGCGCCTTCGCCCAGAAAAAAAAGTCCGCGAGGATGCCCCCTTTTTCCACTGATTGTTAAGGGGGCTCCCTCGGAAGAAAGGATTGCCCACTAAAAGGGGCCACTCTGAATAAAAGGGGGGATCATAGGTGTCCTTTTGATCGGTGTGTTTGGGTAAACATAGAAGGCACTGGTTTAGATGGGTTTGATATTCCATTTACCAGGGCCATCTATTTTTCCAAAAGGACACCTATGCGGGCGGCTCGTCTTTTTTTGGCGGCTCCCAGCCATCCCCTTAGCTTTTTAGCTTTTTGGGCTGGGGGCCGGGGTGTCCAGTAAACCCACTAAGTCACTAAGAGTTGAACTTTTAGCGGGGATCTGAGGACAGCCCAGTTGGTTTCAAAGGCAAATCAACAGGGAACCCTTGCCATTTGGCGGGTTCCTGATTTCATCTGAGGGTACCCCTGTTTTAGCGGTTTTAAAGCGAAACCAAAAGGAGAACCGAAGCTTCTGCTTTGGGCACACCCAAAACCCGTGAAAGGGCCAAGATGATAGCGGGCGGCTGCGTCTTCTTTAGGATTTGCGCCCTCCAAAATCATGGGTTTTCCTTTTGGTTCTCCGCAAAATCACAAAACATTGGTATACCAACTCAAAAACACGAGGGCCAACAAAGCTCTAAAGCTCGGTGAGAAACATCACGAAAAGCGCCGGGCGCGCCTTCGCCGATTCGCCGACCGCCGGCGCAAGCGCCGAGGAACGGGATGAACGGCTTCAGCCCCTCCAACTGCCCCCGGGAGGCGGACGGCGTCCACGTGGCCTGGAGGCTTTGGAACTGCGCGCAAGGCGCCTGCAGTCTGCAGCTGGGCCGCAGCTGCCACCCGAATTGAGGGCCCCCCCCGAATTCTGTTTTGCCAGTTGTTTGTTTTTGGTTCGTTTGTTGGGCTGTTTGCTATTGACTTTTGTCGGTTTGCTGGGTTGATTGTTTTGGTCGGTGTGTTGGATTGTTTGTTTTTGGTCGGTTTGTTGGGTTGTTATCTTTTGACTTTTGTCGGTTTGTTGGGTTGATTGTTTTGGTCGGTGTGTAGGGTTGTTTGTTGTTGGTCGGTTTGTTGGGTTGTTTGCTTTTGACTTTTGTCGGTTTGCTGGGTTGAGTGGTTTGGTCGGTTTGTTGAGTTGTTTGTTTTTGGTCGGTTTGTTGGGTTGTTTGCTTTTGACTTTTGTCGGTTTGCCGGGTTGATTGTTTTGGTCAGTTTGTTGGGTTGTTTGTTTTTGGTCGGTTTGTTGGGTTGTTTGCTTTTGACTTTTTCGGATTGTTGGGTTCATTGTTTTGATCGGTTTGTTGGGTTGTTTGCTTTTGACTTTTGTCGGTTTGCTGGGTTGAGTGTTTTGGTCGGTTTGTGGGTTTGTCTGTTTTCGGTCGGTTTGTTGGGCTGTTTGTTGTTGGTCGGTTTGTTGGGTTGTTTGCTTTTGACTTTTGCCGGTTTGTTGGGTTCATTGTTTTGGTTGGTTTGTTGGGTTGTTTGCTTTTGGTCTGTTTGTTGGGTTGTTTGCTTTTGACTTTTGTCGGTTTGCTGGGTTGAGTGTTTTGGTCGGTGTGTTGGATTGTTGTTTTTGGTTGGTTTGTTGGGTTGTTTGCTTTTGACTTTTGTCGGTTTGTTTGGTTCATTGTGTTGGTCGGTTTGTTGGGTTGTTTGTGTTTGGTCGGTTTGTTGGGTTGTTTGCTTTTGACTTTTGTCGGTTTGTCGGGTTGATTGTTTTGGTCGGTGTGTTGGGTTGTTTGTTTTTGGTCTGTTTGTTGGGTTTTTTTGTTGGCTTGCTTGCTTGGCTGGTTGCTTGCGGTTGCTTGCTTGTTTATCTGCTTGCCTGCCTGCGTGGATGGTGGGGCGGGTTCGTTTGCTTGTTTGTTGGTTGGTTGGTTGGTTGCAGGTGTGTTTGTTTGTTTGTTTGTTTGTTTGTTGGTTGGTTGGTTGGTTGGCTCCTAGCCCCAGTCCTGCCCACCTTTATGATGCCAACGGAAAGCTGTTTGAATGACTTATTCACCATTTAAAGGAGAGGTTCGTACACAATTGAAAAACAACTACCACCCTCAGGCTCTTACTTGTCTTCTTGAGGCTCTTGGACCAGGGATAGAAGTATCTCCCTTTAGAATATGCCTGTTTTTTTCCTATGTTTTGATCTGCAGGGGAGTAGCTCCCCAAATGTTTGTAAGTCCCGCAAGGTAGCTATCCTCCCTCCCACCAGCTTAGCACCGATTTTCGGTTAAGAGAGTTCCATGTTAGTGGGTGGGAATTTGAGATTGACCCTATCACGGCCCGTTTCCCTGCAACTAACAATGGGACCCCTTGATAATCTAGGTCACCCAGTAGTGCCCTTTTACCGTTTGTTTTTGGGGGGAGGGTTCCCCTACTAAAATAGACTGTGATTAGCCATGGTTTATTTCATCATCAGGGATGTCGCGGTAGTGACTGACCTGTGGTGTTTGGCTCAAGTTTTGGATCCGGCGCGCCTCGGATGAGCGTCGCCGGGCCCTCACGTCGACCGCCTTCGTGTCGGAGGAGAAAGAGACTTCGGCCCGGGGTAGGTTGGTGGGGATCGCCCGTGCGGTTCATCGTCGATCTAGGTTGCGGGTATCCTTTTCTACTTTGGTTATTTTCCCTTTTGGTTGTTGTTCTCTGGTGTGTGGGAAACCCTGATCTTTGGGACCGGGGATTGGTTTGCTTTTGGGGAACCTTTCTTTTGTGGCTTGTTCTACCCCAACTTACCCATTGCCTGGGCACAGGCTCGTGCCCGAATCACAGGTTATCAGCCGTAGGACTTTCCTACGCGCTTGAGACCATCAACTACAAGCTCTATGTCGACCCCACGATCTCGAAGGAGCGTCGTGGATGAGGAGGCCATCCTAGGTGGCCTCCGCTCAGGTGAGGACCTGCCGGACTATGACTACGAGGATTTCGAAGCAGGTTCGACAGGTCAGGACCGCAGGGGTGAAGATCCCGGTAGGGATACACCCAGGGGCCGTGGCAGGTACGCCGACGATGGAGACGATCGTATTTTCCGCCAGGCCACTGATGACGAGCAGCGAAGGGTTTACTCCGATAGGAGTGGCTCTGAATCAGGTCACAGGCGTGGACATTTTGACTTCATCAGCATGGCGATGGACATGGCCCGCCCTCATTCGGATGACCCGGAGGCCATGCCGGATTCGACCTCCGAGATCTCTTGTTCCAGGTGAGTCGCAGGTCTCGGATGAGTTTGAGAGTAGGCCGCAGGGACCAGGGACTATGGTTCTGGTTCCGGGAGGTATCCCGGGCCGATCCACTGGTTCTCAAAATCCAGGTCAGTTTGATGAGCACGAGGAGCGGAAATTCACGGACTTCGGATACGATGATCTGTTGAAATCGACCGCAGGTTGGGGCAGTAGCTCAAAGCAGGGATCTGATGCCGGTAGGCTCAACCCTAATACTGCCAAATCTGAGTCTTATGATGGCGAAGGTTACGATTTTGCGGATGAAGAGGAGAGCCATTCGCGCCGAAGTGCAGGCAACCGTGCGGCTGCAAGGACTAGCCCTGCCGCTGCCAAGTTTGAGGTCGGTGATGATGACGAGTACGCCGCATTTGCGGATCGCCGTGATGAGGAGGAGTACCAATCACGACGAAATGCTAGGATCCGTGATGCTGCGAGGCCCAGGAGTCTCTCTCGTGGAGCCGTCAGGGACCTTCGTGTTGACAGGGACGCCAGAAGCGAGAGAGAGAGAGCCAGGGATAGTCGGGAAGTTCTTCGGGGATTGGAGGCCATTCATGACCGCGAGGGACCGGTAGGTCCCCCGGCGATTGGTGATTCCCCGAATGTTCCCCCCTTTCCCAACATCACATTTGGAGGTCCGTTGAGTCAGAGAGACGTGAACTCGAACCGGGTTACTGGTTCACCGAGGATCACTGAGCGGGCTGCCGATGTTGTTAGGACAGGTGCCAGAGATGGTCGGCTTGCCGATGCACTCGGGATCGAAGATCGTCCGTCGATCGCTAGCCCGTTAGGGCGAGATACCAGTGATCTTGAAACTCTGAGGTCTAGCAACGAGTTCACACCTCAATGGGGTTCGACTGCCAGGGAACGTAGTGTTTCTGCGAAAAGACCGTCACCTCTCGCCGCTGAGACCGATAGGTCAAAGGCGAGGAGGGCTAGCCCCTCACCAATGGATTCAACTCCGCAGGATGAGGAGATGCCCGATCCCGCTGATGTTCACATTCACTCCACCCCCGAGTCACGTGCATCCAACATTGATCCTCGATCTGGCGATAGCCGGAGAAGGGGATCTACCCCGAGTAGACCATCCAGGATTGATGATTGTCCCGTGGATGACCCCAGAAGACATGCCGGGGCTAGTGGGGCTCCTGAGAGGATCGAGATATCGACTCCTCCCGCCCTCAGATCCCAATCTTCCGGCGAATCAGGTGACGCTAGGGCGAAGGAGGTGTTCGATTTGCGCATCCAGGAGATGCTCGAGAGAGGTGAGGTTTCTGGCTCAGTCGCGAAGGCGTTCCACATCTTTGCTGACCAAATCAGGGTACTGAACGGTCAGGTGAGTTCCATGCGAAGGGAATGGAGCGACGAGAGTCAACGGACGAAGGACAAGGTCGATCGCCTGGCAGCTGAGGTTGCGACTCAATCTGATGCCGGGAGGATGCGAATGATAGTTCAGCGGTTTGCGAGGGAAGTTATTCCCGACAGCAAAGCCATTGTGAGGCAAGCCATCGATGAGCAAGCCGAGGTCGTGGAGCAGAGAATTACTTAAAGGGGCGTGGGGGTTAGTATCTATTTAGCCTACTCACTATGTACATAGCCAACATGCAAAAGAACTTACAGCACATGGCAAATTACATAGCAAAGTTACACAAATTGATTTATCGCACTTAGGCAAATGTACTTACAAGACTTACGACGTAAGGAAGGAACGCAGCCATAACCATGCACGGGGCAATGGCTGCAGCTGCCAAAAGCAAAATTATATTTGAAAGAAGACAAAAACAAGTCCTTCGCGATGCCAAAATGGCATGATCGAATGATGCGCACACACCACGCAGCGCTTCAAGTCTTCACGCAAGGGCCTCAAGTCTGCATGCAGTGCCTCGTGTCTTCATGCAAGGGCGGCAAGTCTGCACGCAACACCTTATATACAAGTTATAAAGGGCCTCAAGTCTGCATGCAGGGCCTGGGGCTCGCAAACATGTTTAGCACGCACACGCAACTTTACAATGAAGAGCGAAGGCTGGGGAACAAAGAGGATCAAACTGCCCCAATGAAACATCACTTAGTATTTACTTTATCAACTTTGACTAAAAAGACTCGCCCCTTGCTTGCGCATGCGTGCGCAGGCTCGAGCAGGCAAGCTCGCAGGGCCGCTGGCTCGCAACAGTTTTGCACGGTTGCAGCGTACCTTGCAATCATGCAGAACACGCACGAATTCAACAAGCACAAAAAAAAAGCTCCCCATGCACAGATTCTGAAACAAGCATGCATGCAGGGCCATGGGCTCGCAAGCCAATTTGCACTGCTGCGTGAACACGCCTTGCAATCACTGCGCAAACCAAATCTAAGCTGCAGGACCAAAGGCTCACTTTTGCACGGATATACAAACAGATCATGCCTTGCATGCATGCCAGTGATCTTGAAGTCTATGGCAGGCGGAGCATACACATGCATTTTTAGGGTTGGAATCTGAATCCACAGCTTGGAACACCTTCCCCTCCACCAAATAGAAGTGGAAACTGGAAGCAAACCCAATGCAACTTGGTGGTCCACAAGCAGTGGGCTTTTCCAACTCACGGCCATGCTCCCATGCACAGATTTAAGTGGGC